CAATCCCTGGCCCCCCAGGCCCTGCTGGGCAACCCCCGCAGGCTAGGGGGTGGGGTAATGCCAGCCCCCCCATGGGCTCTGTCTGGGTGGAGACCTCAGACAAGCCCCAGGTAGGCTGCGTCCCCCGGGCAGAGGCCCTGGCAGCACTCTGTGTCGACACCATCATAGGAGTTGCTGCTTGTTTTGAAAACATCTGAAGATCCAGGTGCAGGTGGAGGATGTTTGCTGGTAGAAGGGCCACTTATGGTTCTGGATACTTGCATTTGGCATTAGTTTTGGCTAATTTGGCCATGGATACAAATTAAATTTGAAAAAAAAGTTACAGCTGGAGAATTTTTAGTCAAATTCTACTTACATATTTTCAGACTTCTAAATATAGCAAGCTGGGGAGCAGAGCCCAAATACATGGGCAGCATGTATTGGTTCTCACTGGTTCTCAACCCTTATGATCTGGCAGCCTCCCCCACCCTAGTCCCCACACCAGCACTGTCCCTTGGGATCTGTTCCCTCTTTGCAAAAGTGCTGAGTGCCAGACTTTCCCACACACTCGTTCCAGCACAAGAAGCAGCAGAGTCATTTGTGCAGCTCTTAGCAGAGTTAGGCACCCTGTTCCCTGTGCTAGAAGTGAGCAAAAGCAGAATCTTTTGCATGGGGTTTTAGGGGGCGGTTGGCCAGCCCCCTTGGTGCTACTCCTGTAGTCCAACAGTTGAAAACCACTGGTCTAGTAGTCATGATACTGGGTTGGGACTCCAGAAACTTCTCCTTCTGGTTTTTCCACTGGCCATCAGCAACTCATTTCACCTCTCTTTTTTCCTTTCCACCCTCCATATGGGTTGTGCCACAGTTATGGGGCTAAACTGCATCTCTGACCCCACCTGTTCTCCCATGCCTCAACCAGTCCACTGTATCTTAGGCTACAGTCCTCATGTGCTAACCAGGATTCACTCTGCGGTCTCCTCAGTGTCTATGAAAAGTGAGTAACACAGTCAGCAAACAGCCTTCTTAAAGTCAAATACGATTTATTTAGAACCAAAGCATGTAAAAGACAAGTCTAAAAACAATAAACCAGTCTACGTGCATGCCTTCCCTTAACGCTTACCCATGTCCAGGTCTGGAAGGACACAAATGCTGCTGACACTCCACAGAATCACTTTCTGGGTCAGTTGGGTCATTGTTGATCTGACCATTGACATCATCTTGCCTGACAATGCAAGAGACTGGACTTGAGGGGACTCATGAGATCCCTTCTAGATCTATATTCCTCTTCTTCACCTGAGAAGTGCTCTTTAATTTCTCTTAGTCCTTTGATCCATTTCCCTGTTTGGCATGTAGCTGTGTCACTTCGGACGGATCCTGGAAGTTAGTCATCACCTTGTAACTACCCCTTCAGTGCATCTTACTGTTTATTAGGAAGTTTGTTTTCCTTCTTGCTCTTTCAACAGCCCATTATTAAGTTAGGTAATATATTAATTTCAGAAACTAATAAGCCAACATACTTAGTCCATGCATAACATTTGATGAAGTAGGCTGTTACCTGTGAAAGCTTATGCCTTTCTGAATGAGTTAATCTTTAAGCTGCCACCCTGCCCTGCCTTCTGCCATACCTCTACAGTAACTTTGACTCACTGACCAGGTCACTCATAGTATTATTGAAATGTATAGGAGCTCTTCATCCATTACAGTATGCTCTTTAGGTCACCAGCTATCTTGTACTAAATGTTTGCAAAGGGTTCAGGAAATGGATTTCCAAATTCAGTTGGTCCTCTAGGTTTTGTTGTTACCCAAATTACATCTACTACAGTTACAAAAATGATGATTCAAAAGCTATTGACTGAGGCAGTTAAACAATAAGAAAATAAACCTACTTATCTTAACAGAAGTTTAATAAAACAGTTGTCTGTGGCCTTTTAGATTGATCATTGAAACAAAAAGTAGCTTAATGAAGTTGCCTTAAAATAAATTATAATGCAAATTAAAGCTATAATTTCTTCTAAATTCTATGCATATGCTTCCTTTCTATCTTATCCCATTCCAACTGTAAAAAAGACTTGCCAGAAAATGCAAAAATTATTAGAATTCCTGCACTTGACTCTGAAACTAAGACTTTCCTCTGAAGTTCCCTGGGAAGATTCAGCATCCACGTAAACAAGATTCCCCAAAATACATGACCTTTCTCTCTCTTTAAGCCTCTTTTTAGGTTTCATTTAAAATAACTGATTTAACTTACATATCCAGTTTTTATGCTGTACAACCTCATTCTAGCAAGCCCTGCTTATAAGAAATACTGCTTTTAGCAATCCCAACAGCAAGCTTATTTTCACTATTATGATACAGCATATTGACTAACTGTAGCATACTCTCTTTTAACGAGCTTTTCTCCTAGTCTCATGGAGGTTTGTTATCATGAGGTTGTTCTAGAGCAACGTTTTAGGTGTATGAACTAGTTTTCACCGTTTCAGCCTTTGTCATTCAAGCAATGGGCAGGATTCTCCTGACATAAAGGATATGTAAAAACCGTGCAGTTGCAGCTCAATCCCAAAGATTCATAGATTAGTATTAAATTCCAAAGTATATTCAGAGACAGTAGCTATCCAAAAGGCCTAAAGGACAATGGAGCTGATGAGTTGTTTTGACAGCATCCTAGCCATTGCCCCATCCTTCCCAAACACCTCCAGTCCTTTCCCCAGCATCATACAAATCTTCTGAGTCCTCAGGTGCTGTGCACCAGACAAAGTGTGTGGGAGAAAAACTTGAAAGCCAGTGACAGAAAACGTGGGTTGAAACAGACAAGTTGAGCATGGTAGCTTGTGCCTGAAGCAAGTGAGCTGCTGGTAGTATCTCAATGAGGCTTACGATGTGAAAACAATACTTTATTTACAGGAACTTCTGTGAAGAACCTTACAGTAAAGAATGAAGTTATGCTATTGTCTTTGCAAGGGTCTGGGACTTAACTTTGTGACACAGGATTTGTTTCACCTTGTGCTGCTGCTTCTTGTCCTTGGGGAACGCCTGTGCCACATGCTCTCTGGCCCACAGCTGGTTACCCCAGGTGGGATAGGCAAGGCTGGGGTTGGCAACTGTGCTGGCCCCAGCAGCCTCCCCATGGGCTCTGAAGGCCTTGGGGAGCCGCAGCTGTGGTGCTCCTGCTGCTCAGAGCCTGGCTGGCTGTGAGTGTGGATCCGGCCAGCCTGGCTCTGGTTTTGGGTGGCATGCACTGCCTCCACATGAGCTGCCCCACTTTTGTTTCACATGGGTTTTTTTGACTCCAGGATCTCCCAGGGTCAAAAAATCCACCCGCACTGCTACCTTGCAGTGTGGGGAACACCTGAATGTGCGATGTGTGGTGCCACAGGTGGGTCTGTGGTGCCACATACTGCACGTCCATGCTCGTCTGGACATGGCCAGAATGCCCAGGAAGTATATGGCATTCCAGGATCAACGTGGATAAGGCAACTTGCACCAGGACTGTCTTGGTTCTACATGTTCTGGACATGCTGTGTTCCCAGGAGGACTTACTCTATGCCATACAGTTGACCGTGACTCTACATTTTGCTTTCCAAAAACCAAGTGCATGTTTTACTGAGAGCCATGTTGTATGGGAAAATGTGGTATGCATTTTGCACCTCTGAACTATAGTTTATTTGATTGTTTTTCATATACTTCAACTAGAAACTATGAGGTAGACTTTTAAAAGAGAGTTGGCTGATTGCCTTGAAAAATACAGCCTATATACCCAGTAAGTTACCTACAAAAGGACTTTGAATAAATCTTGTGTACTGAGTGGTCTTTGAATATAAATTACTAGTAAGTCCTTTCCCCCCATTATTAGACCACTGAAAACTGATGTGCTACAGGTCACCAGAGGATAAAACTTCCTGTGGTGAAGAAAACCAAAAAAGCTGTATTCGTCTGTCAAAACATATTCTGCCCCAGGGATAGTTTTATGTGCAGCTATTGGCAGAGAAAGTGTTGGTGGATAAAATCTTTTTTTGTGTGTTTTTTTTCCCACCAGCTCACATACATATTTCCCCTTGGGGAAGATATGAGAGAGAGAAAAAAAACCCCACAAGTAACTGATAGCCACATTAATCTACTTCTTGAAGGCACTCTCACACGCCCTTGTGATGATGACCATAAAAGAACCAAAACAGAATAAAATAGACTATCTAGATTTTCTCCAGGAGCCAAACATCTCCTTTTAGGTACTCCTCCCCGGTATTAAGAAGCCCTGGAGAAGGAATTCACAACCTCACTTTTGCGCCTTTAGTAATGGTAGCCTTTCACTGTTCACCAGTTGGCCTTTTCCCTGGACACAAATTATCTAGCATTTAAGTGCTGGTAAGTGTGGGTTGGCAAAGGAAAACCTGAAGGAGGTGGAAGAGTCAAGGGTCTGCAGTTTAAAGCTGGGCTGCACGATCTGTGTTTATGATCTTAGTTGTGGTAATGGTAAAAGGCCTATCACATGCCGTATCACTTTCTCCTTCTGTTAAAATCTGAGCTACTGTGGGTGAGCTGCTTTTCTGTTTGGAAAATTCCTAGATAGTTGTGCTTCAGTATAAGAAAGAAGCTGCATTGTAAACTCAGAAGTGTTTGCTGCAAACCAGGGCTCTATCTGGCTCAGTCAGAAGGGCACGAAAGGCAAAGAAAATTATGTCCTTACTTCAGTGATCTTACAAGCTGAGGGTCCAGTCCTGAAGGGTGTTGTGACTGTCGCCTCCCTTTGACTTCAGTGAGAACTGAGAGCGTTCTGCCCCTCAAAGAGTAGTCATCACCTCTGCCGGTTCAGTTGGTCACTTAGATCCTGATCCTACGATGTGCAGATTACAATTTTTTTAAATAAGTGTCTAAGAGTAAGTAACTTAAGTAAGTTTGGTGAAAGAAGTGCATTTGAAGGAGGGCATGGAACACAAGCAGTACATGGAAAATGGAGCTTTTGTGACATCTGTAGTCGGTTTAGGAACAAGTGGAAGCTTTGTTACGTACAAAAAAAACATTTGCAATTCACAAGACATGTTTTATTATTTGAAGAAAAAAAATCAATACAGAATAAAGCCTAGTAAGGTTTCTGTTAGGAAAACATGTTTTTGTCCACAAAGAAAAGCATGGAAAAGGTTTTCCAGACTTTTTTAAAAGTACATTTATTCATTTCAAGCTCCTACTAGTGTGTGGAAAAAATATGCGTACATTGTTTTTATATTCTTTCCTCTGTCCAAATTCATGAGTAGATTTCCAAACTAATTTAAGAACATATGCAATGCCGTTCTGGGTCAGACCAATGGTCCATTTTGACTAGTATCCTGTCTCCAGCAATGGCAGGAGTGGATGCTTTAGAGGAAGAGCATATGAACAAGGTATATCTAGAGTGGCCATTCACCACCTTTGAAAAACATTTCTAAGTATCTGAACTGGTCTAATAAAAGATTGGATTTACCCAAAGAACCCTGTCTGTCTTTGAAAAACATGCTCTTGAGTCTGGCACCTTAGACCACATGGCTGTTTCACTTATTTCCTCTACAGAATTTGTTACTTGCCTGGAAAAGCAGCTGGTTCTGGTCATTCTTTTAATTACTGAAGTTTAGTAAAGATTGTAATGTTCGCCTTCCAGTTTCTTGATAGAATGGTCATAAAGTCTACAGACAAGCTTCCCAGACCTGAGTCATCCAAAGTTAGGTTACAAACGGGCAATGCAAATAACATACAGTAGTATCTAGTCTTCAGAAGCTGAGAGAGTCCCAACCTCTGTCCAGGGCAAGGACTCTCTCTTTCTTCATTATGTGTATTAATATTGTACTTCTAATTATTATGCCTGACTAGTGCCATCACATGTGACCTATAAACATCTCAAACTTTATGTGTAGTTTGTACAACTGTCATGACCCTGATTTACAAAAACATTCAGAGCTTACAATAGCTTTCCAGAAAGTTAGTTGTTAGTGGGTGAATCTCTCTATTTCTAAGACATGAGTAATCTTAAACAGTTTACAAAACCTAGGTTTTTCAGTCTTACATACAGTCCTACCCAGTATAGTTAAGGCAGTGCAACTGCTCTTGACCCATTTGAAGAAGGGCAGAGATTGCTTTCTAAAAGCCTTTACATTTAGTTAAAATAGTCATAATTTGAAAATCTGCTCTGTGCTTTCCCCTAAAATAAAGGGCAAGCTCTTAAGCTTACTAGCAAAACGAAAACATGTAGTTCTCCTCATACCCTCAGTTCTCTTTACTGTCTCAGACCTTTGCCAGTTATTAGACTGCAGTCACTAATTACAGGAATTGTTGTGATGGACTTCACAGTTCTCTTTTGTACTTTTCCCACAATACAATGTCAGGTTGCTGGAGAATTTCAGAAATTTTGAGTCACTTTCATTTTTTAAATTTACTATAGATAAGCTTAGCTTAGGTAGCTGAGGTCTGACTTTTGTTCCTGCTGCTCTTTTAACCCAGTCCTAGTCACTAGTGGACACTCGGTATATGTTGGTATAATTCCAGTCACGGGAAAGAGAAAGCTGACTTCAGATCCAATACCCATGGAGAGTTTAAGGTGGTCAAAAACAGTTTCCAACTCGGTTTGCTAGGTTCAAGTACACCAAATTAAATCCTGAATGGTTAAAAGCTCATGGCAACTCCCTATATTTCGGAAGCAAACAAAATATTGAGTATGTCCAGAAGATAAAGCTGCATTATATGCAAAGCACAGCAGGACATTTCAAAGGGGTTTTGAACATATCTTGTATGTCAGTTTAGCAACTTCTGAGAATTAAGTACCTCCTGTGCCTTTGTTTTTCGCTGAATTTTGTGTGATGCCCCGTATCTAGCAGAAGCACCGCATCTTCAGCATACAACACACGTCTGTCAGCATGTTAGAACTGGTTTCAGGAATCATTAAACCTTGTGGCTATGTATAGTTAGTTATGTATAGTTAGTTATACACAGCCACAATATGTAATAAGTGAAATATATATCTTGGCCTAAAGCTGTATCTATTCCCTATTTTTTCTTAAAACTTCCCACCATGGCACTGCCCCTGGGTCACCATCACTGCAGGCAGTAAAAGAATAGAAAAGCTGCTAGTGATATTACTCCAGGGTCATGCTGCGCTGCACAGGAACAATGGTAAAAATGCCAACCTCTTGCCTGCACTTGCATTCCAACTTCTGCTACTATGCATGGAGTCAGACCAGTGCAGTTAGGGGTAATTTTAAGTTAAAGCTCTAAGCAGATGAAGGCAAACTGACAAAGAGCTAGCTAAACTGACAAAGAGCAAGCTCCTTGGTTGTGGCTGTTGCTGTTGCTTTCTGAAGGTGTCTTGGCAGTGGAGGAGGAGAGAGTGGAGCCACTGTTTTTAAAGATCCTGAGGAGCCTCCTCTTATAGCCTCTAAATGCAAAGAAATAAATGATAGGATCAATGCAACAGTTCATGTTCATCATAGCCACTGTGACTTGTAAAGACATCTTGAAAGCTTTCTGCTCCAAGCAGGATGGCTGGTACAAGATCTTCCTGATCATGAACTGAATGATATTTACATGGTAAGGGCTAAAACAGATCACAACAGCCAGGAGCACCACCACAATAACTGTGACAGCCTTTCGGTGGTGCCCATTCTTGTCGGTCAGAGGGTTTTCTTTGGCTGCTCTGCACAATTTGAGGTTGATCCGCACGTAGCAAACCAATATAATTCCGACAGGCAAGAGGAACCCCACCATGCAAGCTCCCAGGAGGATGATGGGGAGTTTGGGAATCTCTTCAAAGTTGAAGTACTCCATGCAGGTCAGCTTGTCTCCCATCACCTTTGTCATGGGCCGCATGAGCAGTGGCATCGTCTGGACGAATACGAGCAACCAGACCACCCCACAGATATATTTTACACGGCTGACCCTTCTGAACTTGCCCAGACACCGGCTACGGACCACTGCAATGTAGCGGTCCACACTCACGCAGGTCATGAAGTAGATGCCCACGTAGGTGTTCATGTAGAAGATGAAAGCTGTCACCCGGCAAAACAAGTCCCCAAAGGGCCAACTGAATTCCAGGAGATAGTAGGCAATCCTTCCTGGCAGTGCAAGTGTGAAGAGGGCATCGGACAGAGCCAGGTTGATCAGGTAGAGGTCAGTAGAGTTGATTTTCTTCTTCCCTCGCTGAAAGGTGACGCAAAGGGCAAGGATGTTCCCACAGGAGCCAAAGAGCAGCAGGATTATGTAAAAGCATGAAAAAATCACCTTTGCTGTGTAGCGGTGGTGGTGCACGTTGCAGCCGCTGTCACTGCCGTTGGTGAGGTTGGCGAGCAGCAAGGCGGCAGCAGCCATTCCGGGTGTGTGCTTCTGCTTGGAAGAAGAGACAGTGACTTACAGCAAGCAAGACCCACAGGCAAAGCAACCACGCTGCGAACCACAGCACTCTCTTAAGCTTAGGAGAGTTGAGTGAAGGCTCGCTTCCCACGAGCTGAGGACGAGGCTGCTGTCATTTAGAAAACTCTGATTTCAGTCACATTCTCAACAAGACTGTGACTCCCTCTCTGTCTCTTAAACCATTTCTTTTTCAGCTAAAGGCAAAGGGGGGTGTAATCTGTAAGAGAGCACCTTTGAGAGCTGTTTGGATAGTCAATGAGCTGTGATGTCACTGGCTGCTGACTGGGGGGAATGTGGGATTTCAAACCAAAAAGTCCATAACCAGAGAGGGGAAGTTTGGAAGAGCAACATCACTCACCAAACCTGTGTTTTTCTCTGGTTTTGAAAGAAAACCAGAAAAAAAAAGAGAACAAAGAGAAAAATGGCCATTCCCAAATATTTACTGGGATAGGTCAGGATGAACCCTCTTGCAACATCTATTTATCCTTGTTTAAAACCCCGTACAACTGGACAAAAAAAAGTAAAAAAGATAACATCTCCAAAGGATGTCACCCATGGCCCATGGCCAGATCCTGAAGCCCTTGCTGGGTCTGCCTGGGCTGCTCCCTCTGGGACAGGGCAGGTTTGGCGCTGGGGGTAAGCGGCGGGCACCGAGGATGCTCTGGCCCTTGTGCGCTCCCGGATCCCACTTGCTGCTTCCAGCTCTGCCGGCGGGGGTGGGAGCCCGGGGACCATCTGGCCATGGGGCACCTGCTCTCACCTGCCTCCGCCTGGGGGGATCCCGGGTCCAGCACCCTCCCGGGCTGCCCCTGCACCGCTGCTCCCAGCGCTGATTTGATCCGGGGGAGCCGCTGCTGCCCCAGCCCCGGGCACTGCTCCTCCACCCCGGCTCTTCCCC